ATGAGATCTCACGTTCATGATCAAAGACCAGCGCAGTCCCTCGTACCTTCACCGCCTTACTAGTTCCAATTCAAGTTCCGCTCTGGTGAAACCCGTCAACCCTTGTCTTGCTTATGAAATAGCCCCGTAGATGGCTCGGAGTGCAAAATGCTCTCCCCCGTCGCCGAACTGTGCCGGAAGTCACGTCAACTGTAGCCAAACAAAGCCCACATGTTCCGGCAAAGGCTCATGCATCGAACTGTACTTGTATGCCCGTGAAGAGTGTGAATCAACGAGCCATCCTTCGCTGACCATACCTTGAATGTTAACGTAGTTAATTTTATCGGAGTATGGTAGTTAATTTTAAGTAACATGGAAACTTCGCACTCACCTTCACGGTACGATCTGTGGAGCCGCTAATGATGTACTTGCCGTCTGTCGACAGCTGAGACGTCCAGACTCCTCCAGTATGACCAACGAGCGTGAATAGTAGCTAAAAAGCAATCAGAAATAGTGGTCACAGAACTATATTTCACGTACTGAACAAATAGGGCTATGCGGCATGTTCTCAGTTACAGCGCGTTCATACTTCGCCATCGCGCTATCGGATCGCTCGAGCGTTTGGATCGCGCGGTTCCACCGCCAATCGCTGGAGCGTCGCAATCGTTGTGGAAGTCCAGCGATTAGCAATCGAGTGCTCTGCTAATCGTCGCGCAATAGAAACGCTTGAGCAATCCGACTACATGAACAAACGCGCGAGCAATTCAAGTCATCGACCGCGAAGTATGAACGCGAATTTGTGGAGCGAAAATGAAAGAAAAGTGGCGACTACCTTGCCTTGTTCGATACTCCAAACCCTCAGCGTATTATCATCGGAGCCAGTTACAAGCATATCTCCTTGGATCTAAATACTCATTGTTGTCACGCAAGAATTTCAAAATGTCAACCTTGTCAAGCGAATCTCCCAAATGGTAGCGAAACCGAAGGTCGCGAACCTGTAGACAAGTAATCACGTGCTCTTCATGACCTCTCAATACCATGCTCCCTCCGATAGGTAAACGTCGCCAATTAGCCGCTATTCTGCATCGCCGCAAGTACGTAGCCTTCCACACCGAACGCGAGTACACACTGAATGGTTTGAATTATAGCGCTATTAAGAAGTTTTGGGAAGGTAAACAATTAGCAAAGCAGTACCAAATTGCTCACCTTCCATAAGATTGTTCCCTAAGTTTACGATGCTGCTCCAGTTCTGCTCCCTTGTAATGGTCAACCACAGTAACGCCGTTACCCATTGCTGTTTGTTCCCATGCGCCGGCTACACGTTCACTGGAATATTACACGCTGACTCAAATGACAGATTAACACTACCTTGTTGAAGACATTATTACTGACACATTTCGTCAACTTTCTTGAAAGGAAATCTTATTCACAGCACATTTGGAAGTCCATAATTTTGAAGTACGTTTCGTATTTACTTCACGTTCAGGCGCCCTCTCTGAACATGGTAGTCCTACCTGCGAGCATGGAGGAGCTACTACTCTCGGCTAGTGCCGTTTGAACTTTTGGCTGCGAGCTCATTTTTAAGGTGTCTAAACCACCAAATCCGCTGAAAACTGGTATGAAGAGGTAATCTAATATCCTGATTACGGCTATGAAATTCATTCTTGGCGCTGACGCTAATAGAGAACACTACG